CGCCCGCGGGCAGTCAGGCCGGGAGCCCACTTCTGGGAGGTTGCAACTGAAGCGTCTTTTATTTTTTTCAATCCTCGCCAGAGGATACGTGTTTATTGATTTCAGAGAGAGGAAGACAGAGACAGAGAGAGAGAGAGAGAGAGAGAGAGAGAGAACATCAGTTGCTTCCCGTACTCGCCCCAACTGGGGATTGAATCTGCAACCTGGGCATGTGCCCTGACCGAATCCAGCCACAACCTTGGCGTATCGGGACCGCGCTCCGGCCACCGAGCCACCGGCCGGCTGCAGGGAAGCTGTGGAGTCGGCACAGTGTGCGCTTCACTCACGGCCCCGCCAGATGGGGAGCACCAGGGAGGCTCCCAACAGAGCGGACGATGACCACAGTGACCCGGGCCACGGCCTGTGACCCACTGCGGGAGCTCTTCGACCCATTCTGTGAAAAGAAGACCCTGGGGCACTGGAGACCCGAGACTCTGTCTCCACCGGGAAACCTGCCTGGAGATGCCAGGCGCCAAGGAGCCGACAAGCTCCCGGCCTGGAGAAGGCACGTGAGGCGTGAACCAGGCCGTGGCTGCCTGCAGAGAGGCCGCTGGGCCGGGAGGGAGCTGTGCTGGAAGCCGCATGGAGGAGCAATCATTTTATTGGTCGTTTGTGCTTAGAGAAGCGGGGCTGGGGGGAGGTGGGCATACGGCGGCCCCGGGGAAGCTGCTGGTCCAGGCTCCGGGCAGGAAGGGCAGGGGCCACGAGCCCCCAGCGGTGTGTTGGCTGAGGGGGCATCTCTTTGTCCTTCTGGAAATGTCCCGAGACTAAGGCTGGCCTGGCCCCTCCCCCACCCTCCTCGGGCCTGCTGCGTGTCTGTCCACATGGCCCTCCTGGGGGTCCAGTTCCGCCTCTGGCCTCGCTGCCCCTGCTTCAGGGGGAGGAGCCACGGATGGAGCAGGACTCCCTGGCGAGTGTCCTCCAGCCCAGTCCTGGCTCTGGCGTTCGCAGGGGTGCAGCGCCCAGGCTGGGGCCCGCGGCCGAGACAGCTCCTGGGGTCTGTGAGGCTGTGGTGGCACAGGCCGGGCATCTGCAAAGGGCAGCAGAGCAGTGAGGGCTGCCAGGCCAGGGGCCCCGGGCTGTCCTGTGACCCTGCCTTAGTGGTGTCCACGGTGTCGGGGCCACTCCGACTCCAGAAAGGCCCCATTCTGACCTGGGCAAGCCTCAGTTTCCCCTCCGGAGTCACTGAGGGCTGGAGGGCCTGGCCCCAGCACACTGACGGGGACCCGGGGAACAGGGCCGGGAGGAGCCCCAGGCTTGGGGAGAGTCAGGGTCATTTTTGAGGACACACTGGGCCATTAATCCCTGGCCTGGTCATCATGCCATGAATAAGGGAGCACGCTGGCGTCCAGGTGCTCTGTGGGGTTCCCACGCTGCCATAGGCATCCCTGCTGGACAGACAGCTGCCCGTCAGCAGTCCACCCTTCCTCTGGTCAGTCAGGCCGCACCGCCCTGTGGTGTGCAGCCCTGGCCGGGGTCCCGAGTGCAGGACCCTTGCGTCCCGTGTCCCGTTGCTGCCCTCAAGTCAGCAGAGTGACCTCCTGAGTCTGCCCTGGCGACACTCAGGGTGCTCCGCACAGCAGGAGGCCGCTGGCCTCCCTCGGCACCTGCCCAGCGGGGTGCCTCTCTGAGCAAGGGTAGGGCTGCGTGTGGTGGGAACGCTCCGCTGCAGGCATCGCCCACGAGGCCCGGGCAGAGGCGGACGCGAGGTGGGGGGCCCAGCTCACGGTCAGTGGCCAGAGGGCCTGGGCGGGCTGTGGTGGGGGAGTGCCCACCGGTCCTCACACTCACCAGAGCCTACTGCCGGGGCGCCAGGTCCACCACAGGCTTCTGGACGCCGAAGGCCGTGATGAAGATGTTCACCACGACGATGATGAAGACGAGGCCGGTGGCCAGGTTGTTGAGGAAGTCCAATTTGGCGTGCTTGGCTGGGTTGTTGAGGTCATACCTGACTGTGGGCGAGAGGGTGTGGACACTGCCCAGGCTGCCCGCACCGGGCCCAGCGCGGCCGAGCATCAGGCCACCTCTGTCCATCAGAGACACGCCTGCTTTCATGCACTACTGACAAGGGGCCTGGCGCCTGCGGCCACACAGCCAGCACCTTCCTGAGTGTCCTGTGAGAGGTCATCCCGCCAGCCTCCCCTTCAGGTGACAGGCAGGGCAACAGGCAGGAGGTCAAGTAACCGCAGGAGGTCACACAGCAGCCAGGAGGCGGGGAGGCACCTGAGCCCTGCTGCTCCCAGCCCTGACCGCACCTGGGGACGGGGTAGAAGGACAGAGCCACGAGGGGCTCTCTGGGGCACATCCTGGACTGCAGGGCGAAGTGAGGTGCCCCCCCCCCCCCCCCC